CGGCTCAGCCGTGGCTGGTAGGGCTTGGGTTTTTTTCTAGGGGGCTAGAGGTACGAAAAATGAAGATTTTTCAGGATGTTCTTACACAGACCTTATGGGGGTTTTGAGGATTTAGGACTAATTTAGCCCAGGGTTTAGCGTTCAGGGGTTTCGGGTTTCGGATTTAGGGTTTAGGGTGACTTTTTCCAAGGCTTCTCAGTCAACGGTCTCTCGCAGCTGCTTTATAGGCTGGCTCAAGACCCCCCTTTTAGGGGTTTAGGGTTCAGGGTTCAGGGTTTAGGTAACTCTAAACCCTAAACCCCAAACTGCGAAGCCGACAAATTCCAAGTATGCTTGGAGGATCATGGGACTTAGTAACTAGGGTTATAAATAAGGTAACTATAACTATAACCCCAATTAGGTTACTTATAACCTTACTCGCTAAGTCCCATGATCCTCCAAGTGTTATCAAGCCCCAACTCGAGAAAAGCCGACCTTGGAACGACAAGGTTCGGCTTTGGGAGTTTTAAGAATCTAGTATTAACAATGATACTAGTAAAAAACAGCAACAATAACAATAACCAGAATAACAATAGTAATAATAGTAATCATAGTAATGGTGATAATAATTATAATAACAGTAATAAAAGTAAAGAGGCGAATAATAAAAGTAATAATAACAACACTAATAGTAGTAATAATAGTCATGATAGTAATCGTAGCAGCAATAGTGTGAATAATCAGAATAGACCTCAAACCGGATTATGAAATCCGTGGCCTTAAACCTTCAAGCCTGCAATCTCGCAGCACAAAGACCCCACCCCCAACCCAATCTGCTCTTCTAGATCATGCCGGCAGCCTCATGCACAACCTGTTTGTTGGGTGGAATGCGGTCCCACACTAAGCCTCAAGCTCCAGAGCCAGAGCAAACTTGCACTCCCAACCGCGGAGGGATACGTCCAAACGGAACTGTTAAACCGTCGAAGGTTATATCATATAGAAGCCTGACTAATTGCCAATGTTGTTCCTCAGGGTTCGTTAAAATGAGCTCGATCAGATACCAAGGACCCTATTTCAATAATTAAGGCCCCTTTATCGCTGGGTCCCAGTTCTGGAGCTCGCAAGGTAAATTATGCGTTGCTCCTTAACGAGACCATCTCGCAGATTCCGAAGGCCAGATGCATGCATGCCAGGGTGATGGCCCAAAGCGACATGTCCGGTTCAGCGAAGGTCATGCCTGAACTATTCACAAGCCTTGCTCTGATATGGAAGTGTACAACCGAGGAGTCCCATTGTGCTGAACTCGGTGTTGCTAAATGCGCGTGCTATTCGGAGTCACAAAAGAAGGGAGCATCCTCATTTTTTTCGCCTTCACATCTATCGCAGTCATCCCCATCCACTCTCATCAGCATCCTTATACTCCTCCTCCGCCTCCTCGTCCTTTTCCTCCTCCGCCTCCCCGTCCGCGTCCTCATGCTGCTCCCCTTCATCGTTATCTTCACCTTCCTCTGCTCTTCCTATCCATGTTCAGCGTCATCATCATCTTCATGGATCTTCCACATCATCCTCGTCTTTTCTCTTCTCTGTCCGCCTCCTCGTCGTTCTCGGTATATACAGCCCAATCCCTAAACCCCAAAACCCCCAAAACCCGAAATGGGTAGTTCTCTAAACTAGGGTCCCTTTTAGGGTCCTTATTATAAGGGTGCTGTACTATATTTGGGAAGGAAAGCGGGACCCTAATTTAGAAAACTGTCCATA